TTTGGACCCCAATGCATTTTGCTGGATCCGCCAGTGTTCTGGTGGCACTCTGTAGACGGCGGTCTCGGGTCTGAGTATTGCGTTACTGTGTAATGTTAATAGAAACTTCAGTTCAGTATGATCATTTAAGTTGTATTGAATTGAACTGTTTGATTTGGGTTTGTGATATGGAAATGGTGTACGTACTGAGCTCAAGTTAAAAATTGTGGTTAGTTTGGTGATAATTCCAGAAGTCATACTGGAAGAAGGGTTGTGTCTTAAACAAATGCTACTTTAGTTTCATTGTTTTATATATTTAAATGTGATTTACTTTATTATGGTTTTCTTGTCGTGTTCGAATGCTTGAAGGTGCGAGGATTCATACAGACCTCGAACCTATGACAATTGACGCCAAACAGTGTTGGACTCGTAAGGCATCGTTGTTTAAAACATTTTACAACATTATATATTTGGCCATCATTGTTGTTCTTCTGTAGATTGTGTAGTAGATTATTCCTCATATAGTATCAAAACACTGTCCTGAATAATAAAAGTATTGTGATGAGATAATTGTAAACATCTTATAGAATAGTGCTACAGGTAAAGATTGCTTTTTACTTTGCTGGTTCTGATTTGCCACCTGTGTTGAGGATTGGTGTTATGGTGATGAAGTGCTAGGTGTCTGGATTCTGTCATATTTTAGTTCGTGACTTCAAGAATACACTCACCCTATTTCTCTTTATTTAATAGTTGAGGCACCGGAATAGGAGAGCTGGGAATATCGCCTGTAACTTTTAATTTGACAAGACAGTGGTCATAGTTAATTTCTGTTACGTTTACCCCGGTTTACACGATCTTTGTGGTATGGTTCTTAAGAAATCCAAGGTATAATAAACTCAAATGCATTCTTTGAAGTTTCAACTTTTTGTTCATTTGGAATAGAAGACGCATCAAATCATTGAAAGTATATGGCGAACAAGTAGCAAACATGAAACTACTAGTATTTCATTGTACCACAGTGTGTTTTAAATCAGCATAGTTACACCATACACACGCCCAATTTGTGCATATAATGTTTTTACAGACAAGTTTGGTGCTCGTAAATCCGCTGGTTATGACGGTATCCACCCAAAAGTTGTTAAAGTGGCTGCTGAACATATTGCCGAGTATATTGCTCATATTATAAATTGTTTCCTGTCGAAGGGTGTATTTCCTGACAAATTTAAGAAGGCACATGTGACCCCCCATTTTCAAAAAAGATGCGCTTACGAACTTGGTAACTACAGGCTTAGAGGTAAATTATTTGAATCGCTTGCTAATGAACTGCTGTGTGCTTTGTCACACTAGGTGTTTTTATTGACTTAAAAAATGCCTTCGATACCATTAAGCATGACATTTTGCTTTCACATTTACAGCACTATAGAATAAAAGCTTCAGCCTTGTGCTGGTTCCAAACCTATCTAGAGGTTTGGCAACAATGTCAGTACAAAAAAAAAACTGCGAACTAATCTCCTATGGTGAAATACAGGGTTCCATTTTAGGTAGATTCCTTTTTTCTAATTTATATTAACGATATTTCTATATCATCATTTCTTTTGAACATTTAGACATTTTGCGAATGATAACATTTTTTGTTTCATTTCGTTAAATACCATTCTATTAATCTTGACGTCATTAATATTGAATTAAATAAAGTTGCCACCTGGTGTATATCAAATACATTAACCAGTGATATTGATAAAACGAATGTCATGATTTTTGAAGAAAAAAACTTATGAGGGCGCGCTACTGATAGGTGATCTGTCAATATAACTGGTGTTGTCTGCTGTGTATCTAGGGGTCACAATTGGGGTCACACTTAACTCGACACTAGGTTGAAAACACCGCGTATTAAAGTAATGCGTTAAAACAGTAAAACTATAGGGATCATCTCATACTTACACAATCACTTATGTTATTATTTTTTTCAACTCATTGACCCCTCCACACATTGCGTTTTTATTGAAGTATGGGGCAACACTTTTAGCACATTCATTAATCCAATTTTCAAATTACAAAAAAAGTCTTTAACAACCTGGTATATTGGGTGTCATCCCACAAATTAAATTAACTTCAACAAAGAAAAGTTTGACGTTAACTCTTGTAACAAAATATTATTATTATTATTTCAGCAAGATTATATAGATTTATTTTATTTTACAGTGATTTCTTGCGTATTACTGTTTACTTTCTATAATAATTATGCATGGTTCAGACGCCATGAACTAGATAAGTTTCTACCTTTCCTGTACTCGCCAGTAAAACATATTTTTTTTTTTTGTCATGCTTTGATTTCTGGTGAAATAGAAATGTAATCACATATATTTATAATCGTTTGGTTCGGTATATTCATTCTGTATTGGCAAAATGCAGGCCAGCGTCCTAAAACAAACTGACAGTAAATGCCATAACACGAATGCTTTTGACACATATGGAGGTCATTCAACTTTACAAACACAGTGCATTGTGGGATGTGGCGCTGTAGTTAGAAAATCAAGATGGCTTCTTTGGTGGCTGAAGTTCTGGCTACTTCAGGTAAATTATTTCCACTGTCGTAATTTGCTCCAGTGTTATATACGAGAATATAACCATGTGTTAACATTGTGTTGAAATAACGGAAATTTAAAGCATATGGTAACGATGCTATACTTTTACCACTAAAAGCACTATCGAACAGATTTCCATACCGATCGTCCAGTATTTCATCAACTTCAAGATAAAAACATATGCTTGTCAGAGATTCAAGTTTAGCCGCGCTGTTTGATGTAATAGTGTGTATTGGATTTCTGTCACATGAAACCTCTGCTACGGACCAAGAATTTTCCCGGAAAGTTCACACAATTAAATACCATGCGTTATGTGAATTAATATCAATTAATCCCCATAGAGCATCCTTTATAATAATTCTGAAGCATTTAAATAATAACACATGTTTTGGGAAATTAGTGGTTTGCAATGGTGGTGGAATCGGTGTGGTTTGGGTGTTGAAACATCGTTAAAATAATTATTTACCAGCATAATATTCAAGTGACAATGTAAACCAAACTCTTGTACCCCCC